AGCCAGCCAGGCTGGCCTGGGGAATTCTGGAAGTTGAAGTCCACACATCTTCAAGTTGCCAAGGTTGAGAAACACTGCACTAGACTATCTCTGATCATCTGATAGATGATCAACCAGACACTGTTTGAAGACCTCCCATGAAGGAGAACTCATTGTTCATGAGTCAGTCTGTTCCACCGGCTGGCAGCTTGCACAATCAGGAGGTCCTCCTTCCTTGTACTCTGAATCCATTGGTTCTTGTCCTACTTTCTGGGGCCAAGAGAGAACAACCTGACTCCCTCTTCCGTGAGACAAGCCTTCAGCTATCTGCTATCATATTCCTCCTTGGTCTTCTCTCTTGTTTTCAGGAGGTCTTCGAACAGGGATCATCTATCAGAGGTCCTCCAGTGCAGTGTTTCTCAACCTTGGCAGCTTGAAGATGCGTGGACTTCAACATACCCAGAAACTTTAACTAGTTCTCTATAGGACTTGATTTCCAGACCCCTCACCATCTTGATCGCCCTTCCATGAACCCACTCCAATCTGACAATGTCATTTGTAGACTGCAGTGCCCAGAATGGACTTCAAGGGAGCTTCTGACTAGGGCAGAATAGAGGCGCATTACTTCCCATGCTCTGGACTATCCTTTTCTGCACATTCATAAAAATGCAGCTATGGAAATTTTATGAGAAAAGAAAATATTTTGCACAGAGGGAGCTGAACGCTTATGAAGTTCCTGCTTCCTTGTACACCAGGAGACCCTGCATTTTCTCTTGTAGTTTTGTTCCGGTTGTTCTGTTCTTTCCTGAATTTGACCCGCTAAAAGCAATAACATCATCAGACAATTGAAAGTCAAAAAGAGCACAAGTTCTTTATGGGGGAAGAAGCAGACAGAAGCATGGACATGATCCAGTTCAGGATTCAGATCATGACATTGAGGCTCAGGTCACTTCTGCGCTGGTGACTCAACAGCATTATCTGGAGTCGTTGAGCCAAATGACCACAGTGAAGACAAGCTTTATATCATTTCAGCAATGGCTGGATTAATGCTATGAAGACCCTATAAATCACTATTGGAGAAATGACCTCAGACTGATTCAGAAGTTGAGGTAGCAACACACTTAACCTGATTACCAAATTAAACCATTTTCTGACTTCATACATTGATGATTCACTGATTCACTGAATCATAAATTAGCCCAAGTACTGTAGCTGGGTTCACTACAGCTTCCAGACCAGGCTTTGAATGTCCAGATGCTCAGTAGATGACCGTAAAAAGTTAATTTTTTTCCTCTATCTCTCTGCTGCCATCTAGTGGTACTCTGGATTTTCCAGCCCAGATCTGGTTGTGTCTAGGTTCACACAACACACGGTGCTATCTACGCATCAGCAGACATAGAGAGAGAAAACCAACCCGAGTTCAAACAAGCCACACTTAGTGTGTTGTGTTAATCCATCCTTAGATTCTCACAGAAATGGAGAAACCAAGTAGAGATTCTGGATCAGCCTTTACAGAAACAGGTCCAGCTCTTGATACTAGACGTTTTTGGTCCTACTGAGCAGCATTGATTGCAGAAGTTTGACTCCTCTGGAATAATAGTTTACCCCTGAGAAATACTTTATATTATTTTAATTTTTAACCAATTTATATAGCTGCCCATTTCAACAAGTGACTCGGATTGTTATTATTAGATTCTCTGTACCTTTATTTTGTACAATTCAAGGTGGTGTATATAATCTTCCCTTCTCCTATTTTCCCCATCGCAACAACCCTGTGAGGTGGGTTGGGCTGAGAGAGTGCAACCGGCCCCAAATCACCCAACCAGCTTCCATGTCAAAGGGTGGACTAGAACTCACAGTCTCCTAGTTTCTAGTCCAGCAACTTAACCATGACCCCAAAGTCATCCATTATTCGCAAGTTGATAACTACTCTCAAATTATTCTTCTACACAACCTGGCATACTTTTCTCGCTCTGCTTTTTGGCTCTCCACAAGGTGGTATCAAAATGTTCATGGGCTTGGAGATGGTTCTTGGCATCATGATCAAGGCATGGGGTTAGATCAGTGTGTTCCAAACTTGGCAACTTTAAGCTGTGTGGACTTCAACTCCCAGAATTCCCCCCCCCACCATGGCTGCCTGGGGGTTTTTGGGGGTGGAGACCCCACACCCTATAAGTTACTACATTGTGAAAAAAC